TGTAAATTGTCATCCCTCTCATAAAAACAATTGAACACAAGAAACATTTGCTACACAAGTGCTCCTCATGAAGCCGTTGCGTCCGTCTCCTTGACCTTGTAGTGTCTTTCAAGTAAACGGGCTCAGGTGGCTGCAGTATTTTAACAACCTGCTATAGCTGGGGTGTTTGTGGCAGCGTTTACGACTTCTGGTACTCGATACTTCAATGGTGCACCGACAAGAAAAGGGGAAAAGGGTGCTGCATTCCAGACAGTCACATGTCAGAGCAGGTCAGCGGTGGACAGCTGTGATTTAATGCCGCACGAGCACAGAGAGAGAACACAGGGAATGATTTTGAAGAAGATATGATGTCTTTCTGCCTGCTATTTACACATCTAATATAAATTAGGGCTGGGCGATATGGCAAAAAAGTTAAATCTCGATTTTATTTTCTGCTTTGGACGATTCCGATTTTAAATTGATTTTCATTCATGTTTGCCCTTAAAAATATTTTTTGATCTTTCCGCTCCATAATCAGGTTTCAAATCTATTTTTAATTTGTTTCCCTCAATACGTTTAAAAAAAAGTCTTCTATAGACTGAGCTGATATTGCAAGTATAATTCATGTGCTGCTGGAACTCTCACAATATCCTTTATTCGATGTCACAATTTTCCCATTTTTCACAAATTCGATTTTTTCAAAGGCCGTTTAATTGCCTAAATTCGATGCCCAGCCCTAATATAAATATAACACTTATAGTCCGAATTATGAATAACAAAATCATAAATAACCTGTATACCAATTTTATACTTGCATGCAAAAACCAGAGCCAGTCAGATATTTGAAGCTGTGCAGGGCAGGGCCTGGTTAATACAGTGATGGGTGACTTCTGGGAACAGCAGGTGTCATGGTCTCGAGTATAAAAATCAAAATTAGACTAGCCTAAAATGGCATAGGCCTCTGTGCTGTAAGAAAAATAAATATTGAGAATCGAATTGAATTGTGACTAAATTTGACACAAATATATGAAAGACAGGTCCTGAACAAAGTTCAGTCTGTTTTGTCCATCTGTGACCACCCCCTGAGGTTGGAGTTCGAACTGCTCCCCTCTGGGAGAAGATATCGGCTTCCCAGGGCTAGAACAAACCGTTTCAAATGTTCATTTGTGGTCTCCGCAGTTAATCTGTTGAACAGACAATTTTAAAGATCTAGACATGCTTCCTCTTGATTATGTTGTGATGTTCCCTGATATGTGCCATACTCACTGAGATCTTTGTATTATTGTATTGTATTGCTATTTGTATTGCTCCACCACATGCAAACAATTTTCCCCTTGGGGACAATAAAGTTTTTGAGTTGAGTTGAGTAAATCGCGTGTCTGTCTTTGTTAACAGGTCTAGAATAAACTGAATAGTAGAGCTGCAACTAACGATTATTTTGTAATCGATTAATCTATCGATTATTTTTACGATTAATCGAGTAATCGCTTGGCTGTGAAATGTGTAGAAAAAAAATATTTTTTCATCACATAAAGCTAAAGTGGCAACACTCGAGGACGTATTGATGGCGTAAACTTAAAGTAAATGTTTGTAACAGGCTCTTTGTGCGAATTCTGCTCTGATTGGATGAGACAGACAGATATTCATGAAATTATAAAAACAAAGTCGGTTTTAATCAAAAATACTACATTTTCATGTCATTTTTGCTCTGTTTGAGTCCGTGTGAACCAGAAAACGATTAATCGATTATTAAAATAGTTGTCGACTATTTCAATAATCGACTAGTCGTCGATTAATCGATTAGTTGTTTCAGCCCTACTGAATAGTAACGGAATCGAGTGTGCACTTCAGTGACTCCATACCATTCAGCTCAGGCCTCAAATTAAGTTAGCAATCAGCAAGATTTCTTTACATTGAGGAAATAATATGCCTAAGTAACAGTACCGGATTACTTGCATATCACAGATTCAGACATTTTAAAAAGCTTAAACAGTCAGGGATGTGAGATACAGACAGACACACAGATGCGTGTGTGTTAGTTTGCATTAAATATCTCCTTTAGGGTAAGGCCATGATTATTAGGTCAAATATTTGAGAATAGTGATGCCACGATTGGGCGGCACGGTGGCTGAGTGGATAGCACTCTCGCCTCTCAGCAAGAAGGTCCTGGGTTCGAATCCCGGTCGGACCAGGGCCTTTCTGAGTGGAGTTTGCATGTTCTCCCCGTGTCTGCGTAGGTTTCCTCCGGGGACTCCGGTTTCCCCTACCACTAAAAATATGTCCAATAGTTCTGGCATGTGCCTCCTGTACTGGCCCCTCCCATCTCTGTGTGGAGTGAGAGACAAATGCCCAAAAATTAACAATTGTAAACCGCTTTGAGACTCAGATCTGCAGTGAAAAGGCGGTATATAAATTAAAACTTACTTACTTACTTACTTACGATAAATACATATATTTACTTCAAAAATTAATGGAAGTGTTTGATATTTGAAACTGATTCTGAAAACACAAAAATGTTATGCATCAAATCCTTTAAAGCTGGGCTACACAATTTTCAAATAGAGAGTGAAAGTAGATATTCAAATCAATCTCACTTGTTCTGTCACAAAGCCTTTGGCACATCATTAGCATTCACACGCATGAATAATTTTGGCTGTTCTTTTACCATGCAAAACCTGCAATAAATCATTTATTGGGGAAATGGAGGGGAGCTTTTGAGACGAGAAGGATGGAACAGCAGAAAGAATGTGAAAAGCAAACAACTACAGTACACGACGAACCAGGCCAGGAAGAAAGAAGCATGTCGGGAAAATCTCAATATCAGAGTTGAGTGAGAGTACTGCAAACGGGAGAGCCACGTCATGGACTGGCAGACCACAAACAGGCAGTATTGAGGAACAGAAATACAAACGCTGGATCCGAGAGACGATTGAGATCAGGACACGAGAAATAACTATGAACAGACTCAGAGAGAGTTTTTCTGCTTCTACATGTCTGGGGCACACTTCTCCAGGGATCACTAGGCAGCAGGAGGCATAGTCTGGCCACTGTAGGAAGATTCTCACTAAAACATGCCATGGTGACAAGCTAACAGCATCAACTTTCTTATTTTGTACTTAAAACAGTTCATATTCTATGTATGAGAATTGCTTTTTAAGAATAAGCATGAATCTCTCTGTCATTTAATCACACAAAGAGATGCTGGTTCTTACAGTTTGCTTTTAAATGATCTTTTGTTGCTCTCCATTCCTTTTGCCCGCACAGAACTGGGCATAATCTGCTTCGGCATGGAACGTGTGGCTATAAGAGTGGAAATAAACTGAACTTGTTTCATTGAATGCTTTAAGCCAAGATTTAGAGCACTTGAGACATCCTCATTGACATGTAACTGTTTTTAGAATCTATAATTGTATGTCCATGACTTCCTTGAAAAAGAGGTTATTAATCTCAACAGGACTTTCCTGGTTTAATAAAGGTTAAATGAAAAATAAAAAGGCTCTTCCTACAGTATGCAAAATATTTTATATGCAAGATGCTACGTAGTCTGATTCATATGCACATTTGGGAAGAAAACCTGTGAACAGAAGCCCAAAGAGACAAGCAGGGAGAACGATTTGATTTAGACAAGTAAATTATGCTGCATTTTCCTTTCATTTTCCTTTCAGGACTTCCATTGCCTTAGTTCTTACACACAGTAAATGGAACTGATTGAATGGATATGCATTTTGGAACAACTCAGGGACTGAGCAGTTTAAAGACTCAGACTCATATTGTCCATCCTCAAAGCATTTTAATAATTGCAACCTTTGAGATGTACCCTAATTATGAGTCTGCAACATACATTTACAATATACTTTCCAAGGACAAACAAAGTTTTCCAATATTGATCAAGACCAACAATTTTAAATTCAAATTTTTCCATTTAATGTAATTTATACAGCATTGATATTTTTCCCTAGTAAAATACACTGGACAGGCAAATAATACTGCAGTTTGTCAATTTACCATTTGCCATACACTTTTTTAAATATATATATATATATATTTAAACACGATGCTTTCAGCCATCCAAGGCAATCCAATCCCTAGAGCTACTATAATTAAAACATTATTTATAACTTTTATACATAAATACATGTTTGAGTATTATCTACATGTTTTCTGCTCTGTAACATAGCTAAAGATTCCCTTCAATTCTACAACGACAAAGTTATGAAGGTTTTGACCCCAATAAGACAATGTGGACACTGCCACCAAAATATGTGACCTGTACTGCTTCCACACGACACAAGTGCAGTTATTTCATTTGCAGTACTGGGAAACTGGCTCAATAAAAAGGCACTAAAACCATGATTCAATTCCAAATATTTCATCATGCCTCATCTACTTTTGTTCCATTTTATTACCTATAAATCGAAGGAAAAAAGAAGTAGTCAATGATGGCTGCTCCAATACAAAATGACAATATTAAATGATCTCATTACGGTTATATGAAAACCTTTTGACGGAGATTGATGAAGAATTATCACAGAACAAACGCATAATCTGGATGAGTAAGTAAATGTGCTTCAAAGATGAAACTATGTGTCATTACAATTATAATCATGACAAACTTCACACTCCAATTCTTAAATAATAAAAATGGCATCCACTGATAAAACAACTAAATCACAAAAGAAAATGCTGCCTCCAGTCATCCACAACCAGCACGCCAGTAAACGCGTAATCTTAAATCAACTCTTCAAATCTAAAAAGGCACACTATGTTTCTGGTGGAGATTATGATCAAAATCAAATATTGCCTTTTCAAACCATCTTCCTAATTCTCCATTTGTGATTTCCAAACAATCCTTTATGTGGCTCAGACAAAACAATATTAGCATGTTTGACCTCCCCACTATTAAGTACATAGTCCAACTTTAAAGCTACAATTCAACAAAATATGTGACCAAAGAAACACTTAATCTTACTGAACCTATAACCATCACAAAACAACATCACCTACATGTGTCCCTGTTGACTTCAGCATTGACAAGTGAAGAGATGGCAGAGAGAAAGATAGAGATAGACTCTGTGTGCGTCCTGACCTTTGGGATGTCCCGGGTCGCTGAATTCATACTTCCCCATGCCCACCGTACGCAGCAAGCCGTTGGCTCCGTCCTGGGCCTCCGCCAGCTGCGCCTGCCCATTTGTTAGAGGCAAAGCTGAGGGCGGGTGGAACAACGGTGGGGCGTGGCCTGGGTGCGGGTGGGCAAGGTGACCGTTCCCGAGGTGTCCATTGGCCATGTGATGATGATGTGGATGCATGTTTGCGTGCAGCGGAGATGGCGTGACCACGGGGGGCTGGTAGGGAGGCTGCGTGGGCAGGTTGAGCACCATGGACTGCGGCTGATGCGTGGACTGGAAGTGTGCGGTCATGAGAGGGTGTTGCGGGTGCATGGACGGGGTGACGCCGATGATGGGCGACTGGGCCGTGACGCTGTGGCTGAAGGAGGGAGGCTGATGCATCGCGTAGGTGTGAGGCAGCATGCTCGGCTGGCTCACCGCAGCCACCGGAGCGGCCCATGTCGGACCTGAGGAGAGATGAATAATGTTAATAATGTTAAAGAGCCTATTTATACAAACTTATAGCATTTCTTACTTTCAGGGTCAGGGCTGTATCAACTTGATAAGCAAGTAAGTAAGTAAGTAGTAAGCAACTTAATATTCTTAAGAACTTCTGGTGGAGAATATGATCAAAATTTAAGCATCTTCAAACCATCTTCCTACTTCTCAATTTGTGATTTCCAAACAATACTTCCATGTTATTTTCAGGCTAAAAAATATTAACGTTTTGACTTCACCACTATAAAGTAAATAGTCCAACTTTTAAGCTACGATTCAACAAAATATGTAACCAAAGAAACACATCTTACTTAAACTATTACCATCACAAAACAACATCATACATTAAAATTCTTGCTTTCTAATAAGAGGCTACTGGAGATCTACCTGTCTGTAGCTTTCAGCGCCCTGTACTTTGCCGTGGTCTGCTGGTGCAGCAGCACCAACAGGAGCAATATTGCCTAGGTCAACAAGCTGATCTGTAATGCGGGCCATGTTATTGGCTGTGAGCTGGAGACATTTGTCACATTGAGGGACAGGGGGACTCTGGACAAACTGCTCCTCATCATGAACAACCCTGCTCACTCACCGCTCCAGACAATAGAGGAGCAGAGGACCCACTGCACCAGACACTGGAGAAGCAGAGGAGTTCATTCTGTAACCGACTCCGGCAGGTGGCCTGTCACAGTAAACTATGACATTCATATCCCACACAGCTGTGAAACTCTTTCCTGTGTCAGAGATGACATTGAGTCACCTCAAAGTTTCATCTGGGCACTGCATTATCTTTTTGCAACTCTGGAAATATGTTCATTCTTATTGCGCTATTGTTATACTTACTATACTGTATTTACTCGACCTGCATCCCAAGTCTAAAAGGATGAAGTGATTACTTAAAGTGATTGGAATTAGTGGATCAGATGAGAATGCTGTAGAAGTGGGAATTATAAATTATAATAATTAAACGTTAATTAACTAGAGGATTCAACACTAAAAATGTTACATCAACATTTAAAAGGCTTGTCCTTTTCAATTTGCATATGTCTTTGAAGAGATAAATAACAATATATAATAAAATATGTCTCTAATTTGACTGGGACAAACCTTACAATGTGTCATGAGAATGCAATTCATGATTATTCATATTCAGGAAGCCTCATTCTGATTTTGACAAGTGACAGTAAAACTTATAAACATAGATATACGTCTACTAACCAAGATGGTGCCATGTGTTCTGGGACACAACATGTGCACAATTGCATAAAACATGTTTTGGTACAGTAATAATTAAATAATGTACGCACAAACTTGGCTGGAACTTGGAAACTTGTTTAAAACGGACGATTAGCACAGTGCTAACATGAATGGAAAATCCCATATACATGCTAGCGTTAGAACGTGTTATATTTAACTGCAAGCCCAAAGACAAAACGTGTCTAAAACATACTCGCACAGAAAATGCCTTACTACATTGAATATACTTACGGACAGGTGTCTGCGAGTGGTCATACGACATTCTATGTGGTTTAAACTGCAGAATGAACGCGCGAGTGACTGGAGAGAGAACAGTCAACTACGGTGGCTCTGATTGGACAAATGTCATACATTCAAAACAAACGCTCTACCGAGGGCAGAGGAAAGGTCTATGGCTGGTAGACAGTAGATACAAAAAATGATTTTTTTTTACGGTTTAACTGTTGCAAAATTGATACATTATGGAGAAATAGATATATTTTTTCTTTTCTTTTTTATTTCAAGACATATGCATAATGTATTGAAATAGAAGATATTTCTCTTTTTGATTCCATGCAAAACTCTCCTTTTTATATGAACACACATTTACTTTTAACTTCTTTATTTCTGAATAGGTTGGTTTTGAGTGGCCATCACATGCTTTCCGTCTTTGTATCACACATCCGCTCCATAATTAACATAATAGCTCATTAGGCTTCATTTAGAAAAAAAAAAACTCTTTGTAAACCAAGCTGTTTGCATTTTTATCCCATCCACATTCACTAAACTAGATGAATGAACCAGCTCTCTTGACGCAACTGGATGCCAAACCACATCTTACTTCAAAATTATTTCTGTAGAAGCAATATTTCAGAAAATACTTGTTGTTTGCTTCCGTTCCATATTTATAAATCTCTAAATCCCAGTGAATTTTTAAGTGTTAAAAAAAAGTGTGATGCCTTGCCAACCCTAAAATACACATTTATTCCCAGGCTACTCCAGCCATTAATTCCTTCATGGTTTTTTATGCCCATTAGCATTACACTTGCATAATTTCATAAAAAGACAGTTTTTTTATTTTCCTATTGTAATGATGACAGCCACAATGTTGCCCTTGTTATTCCACCAAATTGTGAGCTAAAGAGTTACACATTGACTGAGGCTTTAAAGAACACATATTGTGCATGATTTGTGTACATGTTAGCTCTTAAACATGATCTTGAAAATATTTGCTTGCATGCATTGACATTTTAAGTTTTATAATGTAATATAGTGAAAGAGGGATAAATGAATACAGAAGGGGCAGGGGGATGTGTTTGCGTCCATTTGTTTTTATATATTATACATACTATATATATATATATTATTATACTGGATGACAAATAGCCTATTTAAATTTTGGGCATGTGCAATTAAGAAGGATTGTAAGATTTACACCAGCAGGCGACAGTCCGTGCCATTCTCTGTGCTTCTGCCTCTCTCCATGGCCAATCGCCTCAGGGCATCGGCTCCGAGGGCACAGCGGCCATATTGGACCAGAATCTTTTCTTTTCTTTCCACTGCTTCCAGCGCGTAGCTCGCCCCCCTGTTACTCTCTCCCTGCGACTTCATCTTCACGAGTCTTGGCCCGAGTTCCAAAAATAGCCAGTCAGTCAGCGCTAAGGGTCCAAAAGGCGAAAAGAGCATGCAAAGAGGCGGCAGAGAAAGAACGCGTAATTGATACAAGGGAGAGGGGCGAGCGAGGACAGGACCGCAGATAGGGGGAGAGAGAGGGGCGAGATAACAGATGTAAAAGAAAGGACTCCAGAGGCCAGGCCATAATTCACATGTCATTGAGCTCAGCAGCACTGGGCCCATTTCAACGGCTTCAGACCTTCTAGTCAAATGGAAGGGAAATAATCCACTATGAGCTGAAGTATTCGACTGATCATGTGAAAAGCTAAGACATCTTTGTTGATAGTATAATAACAAAGAAAACAATGTTGTACAAATAATTGCATGGTGAAATGTACAGTAGCTAGTAGACTTAATGCTCTTTGTCCAGAGATGGTAATGCAGACATTTGGATTCATTTTTTTGTTACTGGCAAAAGTGTAATACATAAATCCATATTAAAAGTTTGGAAGTGTGCTCAGGGATAATCAGCAAGATGTTTTGTTTAGGATTTGAGATTTTTGTTTGTTTGGGAAAAGCTGACCAATAGTTTCCAATAGTTATAGCCAGCCACTGTCATATAAAATACTGTATGTGAGTGCACCGAAAGCTTAAGGGGAAAAGGAATGGAAAATTGTTGTTGAAATTTCTAGAGCTGTGTTTAACCCTGTTTTATGTACAAGTGGATAAATAAATCATGGCATGTTGTCTTGCATGACTAATTAAAGGTTATCACTGGTTCTAAATGACCAAAAAACAATTTGGTAAAGTTGTGGCAGTATTGGTTAGCATTTGATTTATTTAATGTTTTGCATCTAATGAAATAATCATATAGCAGCATATTAACATTGACTGTCAGAGATCCAGGGTTGTAGATTTCACCATTTCCAAACAAGCAAATCACATTTTTTGGTGCCCTAACATTGACCTATATTTGCTAGAATGGTTATTTCGAGCGCCAATGTATTTAATCTATATACTATTTATTGAAACAAAATCTCACATATTAAAAAAGCTGTATTGAATGTGAAAGAAAGAGTCCTCATTTCAAAAGACAAACTTTGCTTTCAAAAAGTTCCCGTTGAAGGAAAGTGTTGATTAATTCTGGCACAGTTGGCAGAGAACTTTTTTAGCTGCGGTTCAGCGATGTGTGGCGAGAAAGTATTCGCACGCAGCCAAATCAATATGCAACACCGCTCTGCTCCTTCACGGCCTGAAAGCTCAGTGCCATGGGTTGTGGGCGGGAGGGAGTTAGTGTGACCAATGGGCTGGCTTCATACAGGACATCACAATAATACAGCCCTTTCAGCAACATTATGATGACGTTCTACTGTTTTTAGAAGACATATGTTTTGGGATGATGGGAGAGTTCAATTTGCCTTCTCCAGCTTTACCTTTAAGTCTCTTAGTGTGCACCTATTACTGTAGTATTGTTGTATGTTTCCTACATAAAACAATAATGTATAATCCATACATTTCCTTTGCTAAACTGTGAAGATATGTGCTTATTTGTAATAAACTTAGATTTGCAATAGGTAGTTGAATAAGTATTTTAAAATAGCTAATTATGGCTCAACTAGATATATTCATGCAAATCTACAACGCTCTTTATTATCTATTTAGAAAATTAGAAATCTCAGAACAATAATGATCAAAGAATAACAAAAATATATATATGTTTTTTAAAGAGGCATGGTCACGTGAAAGCAATCATGGGCCAACTATTTTTACATTTTTTACTTTGTAGTGACCCAGTTAGTGCATGAGTGGGCAGCACAGCACCGGCACTTTAAATTTTGATCAATGTTGTGTCTACAGTGCTCCAGGATCAATTGTTTTGTGGGTTTCTGAAGCATCGTAAAGTGCTATAGGATCCACTGTGATGTGCCTTTACTTTTTCTCACCACTGTGATGAAAAGTAAAGGCCACATGGTGACCACAGACACTGGGTCAATGAAAGATCAATGCAAAATATATGAACACTTATCAACGTTTTTCACAGATAAGAATATGCATAACGTCCCTTTAAATAGAGATATTTTGCACGCCCCCTCCCATAATTAGGGTTAGGGTTAATGAAAATAAATTAAAAACGTGTGTAACAGGCCATATCAACAATCCAGAACAAAAGGGGACCACTCCCAGCTGTGTCTTTCAGATGATGACATAATTTCAAGCGGAGTGGATTTACCAGATTAATTTACAAGCCCAAAACGAGGAACTTCATGGCCAATTTTCCCAAAAGGCCCAGAGCACCGCAGGAGGTGGGCCCACAGCAGGGGGCTAAATCTGCAGGCTGAATGCAAAGAGAGCAGGCTGCTGTCAGTGACAAGGCCGATGGGTTAGATCTGGTAAGGAGGTGTTTAGGGCTGTGAGAAATGAGAAATATATGGAAATAAATTAAGAGAGAGAGAGATACTATAAAATCTAAATGTTATATTTTCTCAATCATGCAAAATCAATTGATAGAAGACGTGATAGAATACATAGGTCATTATTGCATATGTACTGTATATCACTTTTTGAAATGGCCACACATTCAATTTATAACCCTTGTTAAATTAGGACTGAAACAAGTTGATTGTAAAACATGATCCCAACAGAGCTGTAATGAAAAGACATAAACATGTAAATTCAGACAAACGATCAATTTAGCCATAACTTGTCTTTATAGGTGAATAAGCAAACTTTCTATTTGTGAAATGGGAAATAAAGTTTATATTTTTGCACATTGGTCATCATGGTGCCTTAACTTTTAATCAGGGTAGATAGTTTTGCCATTTTTTTTCTGGCGAGAGGGTCTTACAGCAGAGGAGACCTTACAAAAAATGTATCCTATAGCATTCTAGAGATCACTCATACAGCCGCAAGGCCAAATATGCAAAAAATACAGTGTCAACTTCACATTAAAAACAGTTGCGTAATGCCTATGTTCTCGAGCTGCATAATTTTAGCTTAGTCTTTGCCGAAACAAGTACAAAATCCCACATTTACAGACATGACAAATTGATTAATTAAATGAATCATCGGTGAGCTAATCGATCTATACAACAGTCCTATGTACAGCAACTCAATAACAAGCCAAGTTGATTTGAACATGCATCACTGGACCTATTTCGGAGGCCAAACTAAAGACCGCTGAACTTGAGAACATAAATGCACAGATGTTTAGGTGCTTGACCTAATTCTGCAGTGTTTTAAATCATGTGCATAATGATTGGTGTTTATGTAAAGTGGGCGTGGGCCAATGTGCATAATGCATGACAGCTACACGGAACACGCGTGAAGCCGAGGCAGACACGGCTCCTGGCAGCGGCCTACGATCATTAGCATACGGGGTTAGGATAGGCGCGCCGCGGGTGAGGAGGGGGGCATCTGTTTGGGACGTGTGCGTGCATTTGCTCGCTGCCAGGATAGGTACAGTGTTTTTTTTAAGTCGAATGAAGAAGTGAAACTAATGAAAAGTGTTCTGTAACTAATTGATGTGCTAATTTGGTTGGTGCCAAAGTATCAGAATTACTGTATTCTGAAAAAAAATTCTACATTTCTAATTAATATTTGTTTGTTTTTTCTTGTTTTTAATGTCACCCTCTTTTTTATATATTTTTTCTGTATATTGCTTTGGATCTG